AGACTCTTGAAGTTTAACAGGTGATAAGGTAGCCACCCAAAGTAGAAATCTGCTAATAGGCATTTGCCCACCATGTCTCTCAATCCTGGTTGAGAGTACAGGTATTAAAGTACTTGATTTAGCTTAGGTAGAAAAAAGTGAAGAGAAAGATGAACCCTCATAAGAAGAGATTCTCATAAAGGTGATCCTGAAAGAAATACCCTCCAATGTCTCACGCAGAATCAAGACAAGAAATCTTCAGTATCGAGAACACCGTCTAAACTAAACACGAAGTCTCCTAGTGGAAAGAGCCGTCCTCACCGCCACAGAGCGTGAGAACCTGCTTCCTATAGGACCATTCCCATTAGGGCCCAGAGAACCACTGCAGGGGAGGCTGACCAAGCAGGCAAGTCCCAGAGAAAAGGAGAAGTACCCATCATGCTTCCTGCCACTTTCAGACTCGGATCCCACTCGGTTTCCTATTTCCAAGACTGAATAACGTTACATCGACAAGCCACAGCGTGAGTTCCCATTGATGGCTCGTCCTGACTCATTCCTGTCCCTTTAAGCCAGCGACAGAAGTGAGACCAGAATCTCCACCTGCCTTGTTTCGCTTTTGTCTCAAAACAATGCTAGGAGGCAGCTATTCCCCAGGTGAGGAGGTGGAGGTCTGACTTGGCCAAAGCCGCCCTGCGAGATCAGGGCAGCATCAGAAAGGGACCCTGGTCTTTCGCCTCCTGGCAAGAGGGTGAGTTTAAGAGTCTGATGAACCTGGACTCAAATTCCTGCTCTGCCCCTGACCAGCTTTACGATCTTGGCTAAATCAATGCAACAGGATCGTTGTAAGGATTACATGATATTTTTAAAATGCTTATCCCAGTGTCTGACATATAGTAAGGATTCAGCAAATGCAAAACTTATTCCTATCTTGAAAGAAAGGCATATCACTGACACAGTACTAGATATAAAAAGGCAAAAATGAAAATGAGTCAATAACCCTTACGGGCTAATATTCCACGAGTCTATAAAATATGCTCTTACTGTGAAAGGAAAAGAATAAAGCCAGGAGAAATGGGATACATCTGTCAACCAACTTTTTTCTTTTTAAATAGAGTTACTAACTGATGACTAAATATAAAAGGATGAACAATGACAGTGATTGGACAAAATAAATAGATCCCCGTTTCAAGGAATTAGCTAAATTCCTGGATAGAATTAGGATAATTCTTAGACAAAATTAGCTTCAAGAGACTTAACTCAGGCAAAAAATATTTGAGGATCATTTCAAGGTTAACAACCAAAATAACAAACCAATTTCTATGGAGGCAAAAAGCCAGCCTGCTTTTTCAAGTGAGAATCCAGCACATCACAAAATGGAATTTAACTCTTTCTGCACATCAGCCACCGGAGAGAGAGAATGCTTGCAGGAGAGAAAACAAAACCATGCCTTTTCCAGGAATACAAGAGCTTACATTTGAAGGCCAATTTATAGAAGCCTTTATTAATGGGCCTTCCTATAATGACAGGAATGAGCTATTTTATCTTTCAGGTAACGGAGATAGAAGCGGGGGGAAAAAAAGAAGAAAGAAAAAAAATTATGAATTGAGTACTACAGAATATATTGTATAATGATGTATAACTACATAACGATGAATTTGTATTCAGAAAAAGTTCCCAAAGGTCAAATTCAGTAGCATGGTGGGAATCATTAAAAAAAAAGGTTCATAATTACACATATTGTATAGAATTAAACTGAAGAAACAAGGTGGGGGTATTTTTTTAGGGGAAAGCTTTTTCAAAAATCAATTTGCTTCAAGACTCCAAACAAAATACTTCCCATGGGGCTTCTGAGTCTTAACTCCTGCTGGCATTACAGAGACATTTAGGGTTGGCTTCTTCTCAGTCTCCTCTATACTAAATGCTGCCCAGCTGCAAGGGGCTTTTTCTCCCATCCCCTCCGCCACGCCCCCTGCCAGGCTAGATTTGGGAAGGGCTGCCTCACCCCTGGGGGAATGGAGCTGTGAATGAACACCTCCCAGGTTCCAGAATGCAGACCGTGAGTGGAGCACCGCCACCAGACCTTTAGGCTCAGGTTTGAAACAGGAATCTGCCAGCCCCCAAAAGGGAGAATGAAGAGGTAAGTGCTCTTCACAAAAGACCTGGGGGAACTTCTCTGAACTCAAAAATGATAAAACAGGGGCCAGCCCGGTGGCGCAGTGGTTCAGTTCGTACGTTCCACTTTGGCAGCCCGGGATTTGCTGGTTCGGATCCCGGGTGTGGACCTAAGCACCACTTGACAAGCCATGCTGTGGCAGGCGTCCCACATATAAAGTAGAGGAAGATGGGCACGGATGTTAGCTCAGGGCCAGGCTTCCTCAGCAAAAAGAGGAGGATTTGTGATGGATGTTAGCTCAGGGGTAATCTTCCTCAAAAAAAGAAAAATGATAAAACAGGAAACAATCACCATGGGGCCTGTGCTAAGAAGTTTTACAAAACATCAGAAGAGGAGCATTGATTTATTGACAGAAGAGTTTTACGAGTTTTGTGAGGCACAAGGGAATAGGACTTTTACAAAACAAAAACAGGCTATGAGTAGAGAAGAACAAGCCAATGTAGGAAATTAAAGGAAAGTAAAAATCACTGTATTAAAATTGATGTTCTGGGCCAGCCCGGTGGCATAGCGGTTAAGTTCGTGCACTCTTCAGCAGCCCTCGGTTTGCAGGTTCAGATCCCAGGCAGAGACCTAGCATGGCTCACCAAGCCACGCTGAGGCAGCGTCCCACATAAAGTGGAGGAAGACTGGCGCAGATGTTAGCTCAGCAACAATCTTCCTCAGGCAAAAAGAGGAAGACTGGCAACAGATGTTAGCTCAGAGCCAATCTTCCTCACAAACACAAAAATCATGTTAAAGGCAGTAAGTAGTAGACTTGACAGAGCAAGAGGCTGGGCTGTGTAAGATACTTCAATTTGAGAAAAATGACTAAAACATTAAAAAGGTTAAAGTTGTTAAAATATTAAAATACTTCCATATTGGCTGGTAATAGTCCCCTTGTGGGACTTCCCTAAGATCCTGCAACTAAGGGTAACTCCTGGGTACAGCAGGGGGCCTCCAGGACTCTGCTCCAGCACTAACACCAGTGTTTGTTTGAAGTGCCCTGTGCAAGGCTGGCTGCCAAACCAATTGTTAAATATTGCGAATATCATTCCTTGGATCTAACCCAAGAAGAATAGGCATGACCAGTCTAAAAAGAGAACAAAGAGAGCAGAAATAATAATTAAAATTATAACTGAAGGAAGTTTTCTGGATTTAAAGATCTGAATCTTAAAAAAAAATCAAGGGGCCGGCCGCGTGGCCGAGCGGTTAAGTTCGCGTGCTCCACTGCAGGCGGCCCAGTGTTTCGTTGGTTCGAATCCTGGGCGTGGACATGGCACTGCTCATCAAACCACGCTGAGGCAGCGTCCCACATACCACAACTAGAAGGACCCACAACAAAGAATATACAACTATGTACCGGGGGGCTTTGGGGAGAAAAAGGAAAAAGAATACAAAAAAACCTTCAAAAAAAAAAAAAAAAGTTGAGAGTCTAGAAGATTCTATCATGAATGTATCTGACCATTCAATGATCAGATAATTCCATGCATAGACACTTACCCCACACACTACTGCTCCTACTAGCAGCTAATACTTCAGCCACTGATGCATTTAATCCTTAAGACGATCCAATGATGTGGGTACTATTGCTATGTCAATTTTATGCAGGAGGAAACTGAGGCACAGAGAGGTTAAATGCTTCACCCAGAGCCAGCCACACAGCTAGTAAGTGGTGACCTGAGACGCGAAGGAAGGCTGTGCCCATAACCTCTCTGCTAAAGCACAGTTCACCAAAGCTGACGCCTTTGTCTAAGAACCAAGTATAGCCTGATGACAAAACTTTCATAAATTAAACGTTTTTCTTCCTTTTTAAATGACCAGAAACATTTAAATCATCAAGTACTTGCATAGCATAGCACTTAGTGCCAGGCATGTGCTAGGCAAGTTACAAATGTTATTGCGCCTGATCGCCATGACAAGCCTGGGAGGGAGCTGCCATCCTCATCCCCCTGGGCAGATAAGGAAACAGAAGCACAGAGAGGTGTCCAGCGAGGGGTCCAACATCACACAGCTGGCAGGTGGCAGAGCAGGGAATGCAAACCCTGGCCATCTGTAGGGTTCGTAGATGGTGCTACTTTAAACACCATAAAACATGCCGAAGAAGCAGCTAATATAACTTTTAAATTAATCCTAAATTACTGCTTTATGAAAATCAGATATGGAAATCAAAGCATCACTTCATGTCATTACAGGCAAACAGTCATTGGGTCCTATTCTCAAATCTAACACAATAATCTAAACCAAAAAACTGCACATGAAAGCAAAGTCCCCAGAGACGATCATGAAAATCACAATCAGGCCAAGATTGTCTTATAAAAAATAAATAATATTATATAGCCATGTGTAAATTATAAACACAATCTATACTCTAATAGTCATTAAGACTTCATTTCTTAGTTAAACCATTGTAATGTCCTCTTAGCTAAGATGTAAGACAAATGACTTTCTCCAATACAACTTAAAACATTCCTTCAAGTGATTTTCTTTTCATCTTGTGGTATTAAAGTAAGACCATATTAATTCTATTTGGATTTCAATATACATTCTGAGATGAATTGCAAACATATGAAGCAAATAACATCAACAATAACAAATAAAATGTATAATAAGGATGAAACAGAAAGTCTTACCCAAACTGTATAGAGAATATTGTACAGATATGTGAAAAAGACTGTAAATATGGGTAACAGATGAATCCATATCATTAAGAATTACATACTATATTTATCCTTAACAATAAACTTGGGATAATGGAACAAACCAACCAAATGAAGTTTATCTTTAATATAAAATTGATTACTATATTCAAGTTTTTATTGTTGACTATTAACAGTAATATCCATCAATAATATGAAATTATTTTGGCTACCTCTGGCTTCATGTGATGTCCTCATTTCACTTTCTGTTCTCTCTTCAAAGTCTTCTTTGACATCATCAGCATGCTGGTCTCTGAGAAAAATAGGTGTTTCAATATTTTGTAATAAAAGTGTTTAAAAAAATGGTTCAGCACTGCACCTCGCAGCTGTTTTTCTTAATTTAAAAACAAATGGTACCACTAAATTGTCAGAAAGGATTTTTAGTTCTACTAAGAGGATTAATACTAATAACCTCTAAAACTTTCCATTTTCCTCATTATTAATTTTCATTTACTGTTCAGAAAGGAGATTTTAAAGCTAAGAATGGTATTAAGGTTAACTGTTCCGGAAAATGTAGCTACTGAATAATTCAATTTCAAATTGGGACATGTATTCATGAGGAATTTTACTTGCACTGTTTGGTAAGACTACAATTTAAAGAAAGAAATGCTTTGAAAGTCCATACCATTTAATCAAGTCCCTAAACGCTACTCAGCTCCGGCTTTTGGAATTGAGGTTGAGAGTGGCCCAAGAGAATCAAAGTCAATACTAGGAAGCTTTTCCTGGCTTAATCAGGTCAAATCCACAGGCTGAACTGATCCCACCTCTTTCTGACCAGGAACGACCTAATGCTAATGCAAACATGTTGAGGATGCTCTATAATGGAATGGACCCATTACGATCTTGATTCAGAACTCTATCCCTAAGTCAGGGACAAAAATGGCTTTCAAGGGAACCAGGTACAGCCTACTTATATTTTCTTTAAAGCTAAATTTCAGGGATTTACAATTTTTCAACCTACTCTATTACATTCTCAGAGTTCAAAATAAATCCCACTTTGCAATTTCCTGGGGTATATATATATTTCCTGCAATATCGGGGTATGATATTTGGCCTACACACTTTATTTGCTTTGTAATACTCTGTATTTATGATGCTCTATTGTTTCCCATGTGTTGTCACCTTTAAAACAAATCCATCCTGAGTTTCTTGAAGACTCAGACCATACTTCTACCGTTAAGTTTTAACAAAAGGGCAAATACATTTGAAACCAAATACCCCAACAAAATATAAAGGAGTTTTATAGTCTTAATTACAAAGGCATTAATTTATTCTCCATTTGGAATGATGATAACTTAACATAATGATGCTAATGCAGTAAACATGCAATAAATAAATGTTCATTCCTTCTTAGAAAGATCATTTCCAGGGACGTATGTGAAATTTCACTTTAAATCTGAGCTCCCTGACTTAGTTCACAGCGAAAACAGCTTTCCACAACTGCTGAAGAGTACCTGCTTATTTGAGAATGGGAAAGAGTCACTACCATTATGCAATAAAAGTATTTTTTTCCAAGAGAAATCACTTAACTGACTGTGGAGGCTCTTATTTCACAGAAAGTGGGGAGATGGAGGATAGTAAAAACAAATAGAAGAAAATCACTGAAAATTGGAGAAAGTGTATTAGTTGAAGTGATAATAGAAAACACTGTCTTCTCTGCAAAAACCATGCTGAAGTTATTCTTGGTAATTACAACATTTTAAAATCCAGTTACTATGCTAAAATTAGCTTACGTGATCTTCTCAATTTATTTTCTGTTAAATTGGAAATAATACTCTGTCTGAGACCACAAATCTATCCCAGTAAGTATTGTGACCACTGAAGTAAGCTGTTTGTGGATGGCTATATGAATACCTATTAGAAACAGTCATACACTAGTGATATAACTTAAAATTGGCATTTCTCAGAGTCAAAGAAAATAAATTCCCAATTACTTATTGTAGATTTCCTAAAAGCTTTGCTAAATGGTTTGGTAAGGAAAAAAAAAAAGACAAACTGAGCCCAGAGGCTAAAATTAAGTCTCAGAATTTTCTGTATATTTCAGTTTTTATGATTGGAATTGTCCCATGATAATTAACAGTAACATTTTTGTGGCTTTAATAAAGCATATTATTCTTTTAAAGTAAGCTTTACTAAAATAAAGGTATAATACTTAAGTACGAGGAAAGTTCTTTTGTATTCTTATGTCCAAATACAACACCAATGACTTATTTTATAAAATGTAAGAAAAGATCCATTTTCTAAGAGAGAACAGAGAAACAAAAGGAAAATAAGACCTCTGACCCAAAAAGTTTCTTCATGCCTGGAACTGCCCTAATCTATCCCAAAAGAGAAGCAAATGGAAGCTACTGCTCTGATATTATTTATGTTGCTTCATTACAGGAGCAGGATCTGTTTCCACTTTCCCTTCTTTAACTCATGGTATTTCATTAAACTGAACCCACGTAAACTCGGGACAATACAAGCATAGATATTTATCTTTACCAAACACAATTCAAATAAAGGAGTCCACAAGAGGGTTTATGGAATGTTTTATTTCCAATTAATATACTGATTCTGCTAATCCCTTAAAATTAAAAGCGACTAAGCCCCTTGGATGTTTCCTTTAGCCAGAGGATTGGAGGGGTGGGGTAGGGTCGGGGGGCAATCCGAGCAGTCTATTAGAACACGCATTGTGAAACAGATGGATGAATGGAACCACTGAAGTGAGCAGAATCCTCATCAAGCACATCCAGAAACGTGGAAGCAGTTAATAAGAAGAAAAGTTAACATTCTTAAGAACATACCATGCACCGAAGACTGGCTGAGCTCTTTACATGTCCAACATTTTATAACAATCATTAGAAGAAGGTTCTATTGTTACATCCACTGAAACTTAAAGAGGTAAATCTCAAATAAGCATAGTACCAGGCCTTACTGACATCAAAATCCCTAACTAGATTCAATTATTATGTAGCTTTTATTCTGTTTTTCCAGAACACTGCACACATTCTTGTTAGATGGAGTTAAAGAGAATTTGTCTTCTTGTGCCATAATCTTATTTTCAAATTGTTTTTGATTGATAAGGTCAGGAATGAAGAATCTGACTCAACAATATTCTTGTTTTGTATTTTATTTAAAATAAAAATGTTTTCTCAATTGGGCAATCAATATTTCTCTCTCCTATAAGGTTAGGAATTTCCTTGCTACTTCTGATTGAATAGGTACTGTGATGGATTTCTTTCTCTGCACAAATGAAATCCTTGATCTAGGATTTCAACTTCCTAAGCAAAAATTTCTTCTAGCTGCACAGTCTTCCGATTACAGACAAAATATGTTTATATCAGAATGTCAAACTCTGTGATAATATTATAATGTACTCTGGAAACACAGTACAAGATATGCTATTTGACAGATTTTTTAAAAAATTGACAACCAAAAATATTTTTATGTTGTATTTTAATGCTACAATTTTGTTCTACATAAAAACTTCTTTATCTTCTCCTCTTGATTGACATTTTTCATTACGCACAATTTCATCTAGGAAGGGGGTACAAGCTGACCAGGCATGGAGGTAGACAACTATAACATGGAGCAAGCAGCCCAGCAGTGGCTACACGTATGGTCTTCGGAAGCGAACAGACCTGGTTCAAATTTCAGCCCTGTTACTTACTAGATCTGTACGACTTTTAGCAAGTTACTTAACTTTCCTAATTCTCAGCTGCATCATCTTTAAAACAAGGATAATAAATCATTTACGTCATGGGCATTTTGAGGATAACAATGTATAGAATAATGTATAGAAACTACTAAGCACACAGCCAGATATGTAAGAAGTGCACGATAAATGGCAGCTATTACTATCTAAAAATTACTTACATTTTAGGATAAAATTAATCTACTGACACTTATTAAGTTTTAAAACAGTGTTTAGAATAATGGTTACGAGCCAGACTGCAGCCACACTGCCTGGGTCTGCTACTTACTGTCGGTGTAACCTGTAACCAACAGAGGTTCTGTGTTCATGGGATGGGGATGTAACGACAGCACCCACCCCACACACGGCATGGTAAGGACCAAATGAGCAAACGCATGTAAAAGCATCTAGAAAAGCGCCTGCAACACAGCGATTTCTCTTGGGACTTTTGGGTTTTCCACAACCAATTTATTTCAACATTTCTTTAGCTTGAATTGAAATCTAATCACAGCTAAAATCTTACTCAGGAACGTTCTTTAGGCTTTTAATGAAGACAGTGGAATCCACTCCAATGGAAAAATGTATTCTTTACGAGCCAGCATTCTCTTTGTCTCTGCAATTATGTGTCATGCTTTAGATATCTTACTATCTTAAGCTCATTTCGCTTTGTGGTAAACACTAGCCAAACAAACATTAGAAGAGTAAATACATAGTAACAGTATGGCATTTGAATGCAAACAGCTGCATTTCTTCAAGTTTGTTTACTTTTCATTTAAAAACAATCCCTAGCCAATTATGTTTCAATCAGTCCCAGTTTGTTAAAAACAATATTGAAAAAATATGAAACAATAAATTATTTTGTTTCAGTTAAGGGGTTTCAGTCACCTCTCTAAACGCAGCATGAATTTGGCTTGGCTTGGAGTCTCTTTCCAGAATCCAACAGTCTCCCCGTTATCTGTGGGGGATACGTTCCAAGACCGCCAGTGGATGCCTGAAACCACAGATAGTACCGAATCCTATACATATTATGCTTTTTTCCTATATATACATACCTATGATAAAGTTTAATTTATAAATTACGCACAGTAAGAGATTAACAACAACTTCCCTTCAGCATATCCGAATTGCCAGTATCACTACTCTTGTGCTTTGGGGTCCTTACTAAGTAAAATAAGGGTTACTTGAACACAAGTACTGTGATGACATGATAGTCGATCTGATAAGTGACAGGGCTAAGTGACTGTGGGTGGCATATACAGCATGGATATGCTGGACAAAGGGATGATTCATGTCCCAGGTGGGATGGAGCAGGACAACACAAGATTTCATCATCCCCTACTCAGAACGGTGAGCAATTGAAAACTTATAATTTCCTTTCTGGAAGTTTCCATTTAATATTTTTGGACTGCAGGTGACTATGGGTAACCGAAATTGCAGAAAGTGAAACTGTGGATAAGGGGGGACTACTGAATCTTCTTCTGGTCTCATGGGGTCTTTGTTAGAGCTGAAAAGTACCTGCACTCCCCAGGAACAGCGGGGACACATCGAATGCAGTGAGAGCCGTAAAAAAATGTAGG